TTCCTTGCGCCGTCATTACTGAATCCCCCCAGCTTGTGTGAATGCATACAGTGCTTGTCTTACTGGCCATTCTGTGTTCGCTCCAGGCATCAGACGGAAGCACATTGGGGAGGGTTTGGGTCCAGCCTGCTTGAACCTCGTGTAGATCATGTGCACTGACAAACTTGGTGCAGCTGACAAAGAATGGCTTCTCGTGAGCGTGCAGTGGTCAGCAACCGACCAAGAGCTAGTGCAGAGACAGAAACTACCACCATGCCTGACATCACTTATGGGCCTCTCCCCCCACCGGCGAGTCTCCCTGTCATTTCTGTCATCTTCCGCACTTCATGGGACACCTCTAGTACCGCGTCTTCTTATTCCTCTCTCCCTTTCTCTAACTTCAGTCAGGAATCTTGGAATCAACCAAGATTAAATTTTTTAATCAACCAAGCTTCCTCTCCTGAAAAGCCTTCCTGCTGTCTTCTGGGAAAGATGGGGTTCCCCAGCATGGTGGGGGTCTGGGAACGGGAGGGATCCAGTGCACAGACTATTTGCCCTGTCAGATGCCAACCAACCACAGACAGTGTTTGTAGAATGATGGGAGTCCCCGGGTGGGTCCAGAGCTGTGTGGCGTGAGCCTAGTACAGCAGGACCAGCTCGGCCTCACATCTGTGGGTTTCCGTCCTGGAGATGCAGATTATGGAAGGGCAGGTACGATGGATGAGAGGCACAGGGAAGCGAGTTCCTTTCTAGGAGATCTGGTGGCCGCAACACCCACCAACCTTGAGTCAGAAAAAAGGAGGCCCACGGTGCTAACTTTCCCAAAATAAACAATGACTTACTCCTCCTTTTCTTCTCAAGCTTTTGAAGACTGTACCACAATGAGGGATATGCTACTGCCCCCTCCGCAGATTTAGCGACCCCATTCCAGGAGGTAAATAACTCTGCTCTCAACATGTTGCTGGGTCCCGGGTGCTACTTAATGACAGTTTCCATGATTCCTTGCTGACTGTGGGGTGGAAAAGCTGTCATAAACAGTATGCAGTAAAATATTAATTTATTTTTTAAACCCTACACAACACAAAGTCAGGCTGTCACCTCCCTAGGATAAAGGCAGCTGTCTCTTCAGCATGCTCTGCATCTTGGAGAACCCGGTGTCTGTCTCCTGCTAGGATATGATTTACATTCTCTCCATCTGCTAGGAGCCTAATTATAATGAGAATGAAAATGAAAACATTTCCGGAATTCTTTAAACACCCATAACTTTGCTATACTTTGTCCTCCCATATTACTTTCCCCATAATTCCTCTCAGCTGAGTGAGCACCTTGGTTTTCCTTTTTCCTTTTTTTTTTTTTCAATAAATGAATGCAAAGATGATTTCCCTGAAAACACACTAATCACAGTGCTTCTAATTCTATTATTTTTAATGTTTTGTTGGGCACTGTTGGCAACTGCTACTCAAGCCAACAATAAAAAATATCCTTTTGATACTGACTTAGAATCAGATTTTTTAAACGTTTTGATTGTGTGCAGTGCAGTGGAAAAAGAAAAGATTGTGTGTGTGTGTGCTGATTCTCCTGTCTTTCTGCCAGGAAAGATTAGCTCTGCAGTGGGTATTACTCGCCTACCTTTCTTCAGTGTTTTCAAAAGAAACTACAAGGAATCTACAAGTGATTCCAGAGAAGACACTGTTTTTTTGTTGTTTTGTTTTAGGAACGTAAGTATTATTATTATTATTTTTTTTAGGAAGACACTTTTTTTTTTTTTTTAGGATTTAGGTAAGGATTATCAAAGATTCACATCCATTATAGGAAACATAGGCTTGTTTAAGACCTGGACCCTGAATTCAGCTTTAGAGATAATAAAAACCTCCTTAATTGGCTTAGTTAAGAGAAAAGCACCTATTAACCAGAGGGCCCTGTTATAGCTACTTTCATCGAAGGAGATGATGCAAAGGAACTATGAAAATATGTACTGGGTTAGAGAAGGGAGTTCAGTGGAAGGCTATTAACATGAACATGGAGCATGAGGATGGGGCAACAGATGATGGAAGCCCCAAGAGCCAGGCAGGGAACGGTGTTTAAAATGGCAGGCATCAGGCAGCCATTCTGGCCCCCCAAGCAACAGAATGTTGCAATGAGAGCAGAGTTCCCAGGCGATGTGGTCACGTCCAGTCCCCAGCTTAGGTTTAGAGGTAAGAGAGAGCCCACAGTGCTGTATCCTGGAGAGTACCAGTCGGCTGCTTTCTGTCTCCCTCACCAGCTACGCCCTTGCCCTCTCCTGAGCTCTGGTGTGTACTAACAGCAGGAGGACTGGCATGTAGGTTACTACAGTTAATGAGGTGAGAAGAGGATCATTAATGGAGGCAGGAAAATTGGAGAAGAATGACAATGACAGTGAGATGTGATAATGAGTTTCCAAAAGGTGCAAGAGAAAGTCAAGGCCAAATAAAATGAGTGGTGACGATCAAGGGTATAATACCAGTGACGGACACTGAGATAAATAACTAAGGTGCAGCTGCTGGAGTCCTCCGAGAGAAGGGCAGTCGGGCCCAGGTGAGCACACGGGGCTCTGCAGAGTTCAGTAGGCCCCCAGGGAGGGGCTGGAGACTGAGACCTGAAGTAAGGGTTACCCATGGTCTCCAGGGCAGAAGAAAGTGCAGGAGAGACACAAAGAGTCAGACCGGGAAACAAGGAGAAGGGGCATCACTCATAAATACATGTCATGATGTCTTTTATCTGGTGTAGAATTGGGTGCAGGTGAGGAGTCATTTTTGAGTGTTTTAGGGAACATGACGTCCTGTAAAGGCTGCAGCAGTCGGAAGTGCTCTGCTGCAATGTCCGCTGCCAGGAGGGAAAGAAGAGAGGTCCCAGTGAGGCACTCTGTGTAGGAAGGAAGTGGGTGGAGGTACATTAAACGGGCCTGTGCTGTCTTGCTGGTGGTATAGAGCAAGTTGGGGCCCGGCCAAAGCCTCCTTATGCCCATTAGTTTAGTGCTTCTCCTGGTTTGTCTCCTAGAGGGAATGGTCTCCCCGTGGAACCCACTGTTTAGTGTTGTCCAGCTCACAACACTAAGAGAACTTCAAATCCACTGGAGTTCCACTAGAGAACAGTTTTGACCAAGAAAACAGCAGCCACTCAAGATACTTCCACTAGGGAGACATTTAATGGAGGGATTTATGTGCCTGCATTTTAGAAAGCCTGGTAGAGGCAGGGTCAGACAAAGCCACCAGTGATATGGTTAGGAAACCAGCAATTTCAGGAGTCTCAGGAAAAGCACAAGAGCACTGAAGCAGAGAGTTCGCGGGAATGTCCAGAAGCCCCTCAAACCCTCCCCACGCCGGCAGCTGCAGCCTTTGGGCCTCTGGCTGACAGAGAGGAGCCGTGACGGCCTCTGCCTCCCCCACCTCCCGAGTCTGCCCCAAGTGCCCTTGCTGACAGGATGCACATGTGAACTCCCAGCTGCCAAGGAAGCCTACGAGACGCAGTTTCCAGGCTTCCACCCCTGCCACGTAGGGGAGAGCTGAGAACAGCAGGGACAGTGTTGGCACCCACAGCCCACATCAGGTGCGGCAAACAGTCAACAAAACGCTATGTGGTGTCCCACAGAGCCCTTCTCTGAGTCCCTGTGTCTACTTCTTGAAATAAAGATCCACTGGGCCACCTCCTTTCTCTTCGTTCAGGATCAAGAACAAAACAAACACAAAACCCTGATACGTGCACGATGCTGTGCTCTCTCATACACCCTAAAGCTGGCTCCCCTCTTCTCAAGTCCAGTCCTCCTTGCCAGACCCCCCCAGGAAGTATCTTGATTCAGGATCTGTGAGATTTCCTCTGTAGAAACTTAGGAAACAAACCAGCGTGCTCATCAGAGCTCAGAAATAACGAGGTAACTCATTCTTACGCAAAGTGAGAAGACTGAACTTGACTCATGCCCTTGGTCTTATAACACATTCTAGCTCTCCCCAGTCACACTGCAGAGTATCAACCTTCCAAACGTGATACATCTTTTGCCACCTTTCAGTGTTAGGACTGGAGACAATTATTTATAGTGACAGGTAGAAAAGCATTGTTGTTTTTAAGGAGATGAGAAGAAAGTGAGGGTGAAGGTGACTACAGGCTGGGCATACACGGTCATTGCCGAGCACCCCAACCTGATTTAAGCAGGAAGAGACTTTTTTGGTAGATGAGAGAGTATTAATGACTGACCCATGTGCTGGGTGGTAATGGGAGAAAGGATGATATATACAGATTTCATAATTAACCCCTCAGTGGGGAAAATGTGCTTTTAATACTCAAGTGTCTGTTAAGTCCCATGATAGTAGAGACTGAACCTAATTTCTTACTGGTTCTTATTGTTTATCTATGTGCAGTGTCTGGTCATTAAGAGGCTTAGACACATAATTGTCTAATGGATGAAACGAGTGAATGAGGGGTTGGCAAACTGGACTGTTCTGGGCCGGTCCAGGGTGTTTGTGTCTCTGGAATGTGTGTGTGTGTATGTGATTTTGCAGTGGGTATAAGTTTTATGCTGGGCACATTGGCAGTATATGTTCTGTTTATGCAATTCTGCATGAGCATGGTTAAGTTTTACTCAGTTAGTTCTTCAACGTAACTTCCACTTAAGTGAGATGATGCCAAACTACCCCTGGCTTAGGAAGAAAGACAGACCATGGGGAGTCTTCTGAAGGATTTTTTTTTTAATTGAAAAACATGATGATTAATTTTTGATGATTGTTTCTAATTGTGTGTGTCACCAAGTGAAATCCGAGCTCTTGCCTTGTGGTTTTGGAATTTAAATGTTATCAGCTGGAATTGACATTAATTACTTTTGTGCTGCTTGGCATATGCTGGACCATTATTGCTGCAACAATCCCACGGAAGTCGCCTAGGCAATTATCTCTGCTGCAATCACCGTCCTCATCATCTTCATAATTATTGCTAGTAAGCCTCTCCTGTTCTCTGCTCGGCCCAGCCGGGTCTGCACACACATCTGCCATGTCTCCCCATCTCCTCTGCAGGAAGTCCCGTTCTCCCGCGTGTGGTGCAGTAACCGGCAGCCCCTGCACTGTGCCTTCTCCCTGGAGCGCTACACGCCCACCACCACCCAGCTGTCCTGCAAAATCTGCATCCGGCAGCTCAAAGGCCATGAACAGATCCTCCAAGTACAGACATCAATCCTGGAGGTGAGTCCTTGGTCTGAAGGCCACGTGACCCTGTCTCAAAAGGACAATAAGAATAATAGACCTATCAGCATCCTGTACAGGTCCTGAAAGGGCTTCAAAATGCACTCTTCTACTCTTCATTACTGATAAGGGAAGATACTCTTTCCCAGGCTGAAGACTGAACTGAGCTTCCCACTGGGTAGGGAAACTCAACCCAACAAAGCTGAGGCTCTTAGGGACCTTTGGGGAAGGTATTGGTACAGGGATTTTTATACACAAAACCACTAACAAATAGTCCAGTGTGGGCTTGGAATACCAGCTGTGGGCTTGGAATACCAGCTGAGATTCATTACCGGCCGACAGTACAACTAAGACACATGCAATAAGAGGTGCATGGTTACCACGGGGCTGTTTTTCTGCTGCTCCTGACTGATTTTCCAGAAGTCAGTTGGCCCTTACATCTTATCTCATCCTCAGGGCCTTAATTGTCTTAAAATTTCTCATATCCTCCGGGCTCAGAGTTCTGCAGATCCCATTTCCACTATATCCAGATTCATCAAAAAGTAGTATCGGATAAGGTAGATATTTAAACTCATTCTATAAAGTAAATGGAAGTGCAAAGAGGGAAAGGACCTTGTTCAAGGTCATACTGCTGTTGAAGGGCAGATTTATAAAGTGAGTCGGAGGAGAATTCACTTGGGAAATTTTGCAAAGACTCTCTCTGCCATGACTGAGTTGTTGTCCTAAACCGGTGAATGACTTCATGGCTCTGGACTGGGGCTTATAACATAGACAACGGCATTCACTCCTGAATGTTTATTCAAAGATATAAGGAGAGAATAGCTGAAGGGTAGAATCCGGAAAGGAATGTGATACCTTATTTGAGCAATTCTAAGGTAATCCCTGGCTAGCTTAGAAAAACACATATTTACTCACCTGTAGAATGTGTGTGTGCACACACGTATTTATGTATAAGTACTTAAGTAGTATATATTTATTTATTCAGGCTTGGCAGAAGGTTCAACACATTTTATATACATACAACTCAATTTCAGTGTTTTTTATTTTTCTTGGAAAACTTGTAGCTTTATAGCTATTATCACTTCTCCTCACTCTCATTTCAATTCATTGTTTATGCAGAATGAGTACTGCTAATTCCCCAAATAGTTTTTCTGATGAGCGGATGGCTTTCCAAAGGATTGTGCCTCAAAACTGATAGCTGTCTTAACTGACATGTTTATACAGTATTTGCACTCATTATTGCCAATTAGCATTATGCGCTAAAGTAGTTGTGATGGGAAAGGTGATCCAGAAACGTAGGGTAGGATATTTTTAGATTCTCTTTCTCAGTCATGGCATATTTAACACAATACATTTTGAAGTAAAATAATGGTAGGGAAGTTTTAAAATAAAAACAAAAGGAAAATCCAAGAAGATTTTCCTTCTGGTATTCAGAGGCAAGCATGAAAAAGCAGAACATAAAGATGTATCTGATGCAAACTACTATAAATATCTGTTAACAGATCAACAAAAGAATTCCAGGATTAGCAAATTTTTATTTTTAAGAGCCCTTAGGTATTGGGGACCAAGTTCTGCTATTAAAGGAAATTTACATAAAAGGAATGTGATAGAGTTGGTACATCCTGGCATTTTTGCACTTGGCTTAAGCAAATTCTTGAAGTGCATGGAAGGAAAATGAGCTACGAAACTTATCCTTTACTCTGCAATCTTACCTTTTATCCTCAAGTTCCTTTTCTAATGCTTCCCAAGTTTACAATCACTTTGAAATGCTTTGAAGAAGATGACATTACAATATCTCTTGATAATAAGAGGCAAGTATCAAAATAATATTTAGATATTCAGTGTTGGACTGAAAACAGTTGTCCAGTTTGTAGGCTATTGCATTTTAGAAGCGTTATTGATACTTTTAATCCTGTAATGATCATTTTATTAATTGCTTCAGGTGTTACTGATGGACTTTGGACCCATGTACCTCCATCTCTTTGTAATAATCTGTATTTCTCAAGGAAATCAAATGTTACCATTTTCTATGTCAGAAGAAGTTTAATAACTTTTGAAAGCCACTCTATTTTAGGTACCACTTCATGCTTTTCCATATAACCATCATGACTGTGTTAAGTATTATACTATCATAATTTTATATGATGTATCAGTCTCAAAGACTCAAAGAGGTCAACTTTCTTATCTAAGTTCATAGAGCTGATGGGGGACCAGAGTTCCAACTATCTGACTTCAAGATCAAAGCCTGGATTTCCATTCTACCTCCAGATCCCAGTCAAGGAGATCTGATTTCTCAGTCCTAACTGTGGGCCTTGTCCCTAGTGTAAGCCTTCCCTTTGGGGGTTTAGGCACTAGCGACCAACAGCACAGCAATTATGTCTTTGAGGATGAAAGTATTTGAAAACGGACATTCTTCCTCCAAGACTGCAGATGGACGGGATAGAACCATATCGGGCTGGATTAAGTGTTCATTCTGCAGATCCTCCAGAATAGAACAGGTTTCCTGCACATAGATCTGCCCTCACAGGGGTGTCTCCATCGCTAATCACCCAGGGTCCTGCCCACCCTGGCACTGTCTCCCTTCTGGGAAAAGCATACACGTGGTGATGTATCTGGTGAATAAAAACCATCCCTTTCTCCCTGAAAATGACTTGGTATTTTGTGGTATATGGGAGGACAAAGTGAAGATACATAAAGCGCTGAGAAATCAGGATTATCTAGGGAGGGGGAAGATCCATTCTGTATCAGTCAGTCAGCCAGTAATAATAGATTATTGGTTTTAATACCTTGATAATACCTGACTGATATAGAAATAACCACTATGGAACTAACACTCTGGAAGCTTTAAATAGATGTCTCTGAAATTTATATATCCCTAATATTTCCTCCAAAAAACACCCCTACATATTTAGGCTTACTGCCCCACCTTCTTACCTTACTTTAAGGGATTGCCTTTGTGACACTATTTCACAAATGTAATGATGGAACCAGAGGAGGTAAAAGAGATGCATACATATACGCACACACATACCTATGTATACATGTATATCATATATAATATAATATTGATTTTAAATACCTAAATCAATGCAGAGATCATCCTCATTGAAGGTATTTGGTTATGTTCATCCCTACATCTGTCACATTCTTCATGCCTCTTAAATGGCTTTCCAAAGAAATGGCATTCATACCATTCTCACATTTACAAATTATTTCAGTGATAAAGATAATATGCCTCTTCTATTCTTTAGAGTGGCCTTTGTGTCCATCGTTGGCAGCAAGCTGGTTCTCCTTAAAATTAACCCAATAGAATCACCTAATGATTATCATAAAGTAACGATACCATCGATTTAAAAATTGTGGGCTGAAGCAAAATAATTCTGCTAATACTGAAGAGAAGGGAAGAATCCTCAAGTAATTTAAATCATCATTCCTTATTAATGTAATGTTACTGAAGAATCTCTTTTGGTAGGCAGAAAAAACTTAAATGGGAATCTTGCATGTTACAATTTTCCCTTCAAGCAATTCTCTTATCTTTGTTCCAAAAGTGGTAGAAGTTCGGAGATGACTTGCCTGTTACAATATAGACAGAATACTTGGAATTTCTCCTTGATTTACAACTCCCAAGCTAACTGGGTAGCAGCCACTTATCTCAGATGTGCAGAGCATGAAAATCTACTGTTCCTCTGCATATTTAATTTAAACCATCATAAAATGTGATGTATCTACAGGGTTCTTTTTACTTTGCCCAGATATCTTTTAGACTGTCACAAGGTTACATAAAGCATAAACCCTATGCATGGGAAATACTTAAACTTGGAAACTTTATGCAGGAAATGGGGGCCTGCTTATTAAGGTGTAAATAGAAAAAATATTTGTAGTGTAAATTTCATATAATATTTTAATCACCTTCAAATTGTACTGCCCTGTCCAGTTTTTTTTGAAGACTTCATGTATCAAGGTGATCTTTCTCCTGCCAATAGTAAAGACAGAGCTTGGCTGTTGTGGTCAGCTCACAGATGCCATGACAGCTTCCGGAAGCCAGTGGGCGATGACAGTCCTCTGCTGGGGGCACCTGCAGGATTTTCCCTTTCAACACCACCTGCCTTTTCATGTGTGGACACCCTTGAGTGCTGTTTCACAATGACAGCTACCATGTTATCTCGCATAGGATTCCTTTCTCTCTACTTTCTGCTATTTTTTTGAGGACTTCATCCTGCCTTACGTCAGGAAATATGTAAGGAGACTATCCCTACTTGATCTGCATTTTTTAAAGGCTACAAGAAATTTTTATAACCCATGATAAAAAAATGATGTGTCTTGTAACCTATTTTATGCACTAAGAAACCTGAGTTGGTTTATTGTATAATCCTCCAATATATGACGAAAGAACTGTCCACTATGACTGAAATAACCACTTACCCATAAATTTCTATTCAATCAGTAGCTACCTATCCTTCATGCCTCCTCCATGAAGCCCCTCATACCCTTAATTCCTGAAGCCTAATGCTAACATTACTTGGAGCTTTTTTCTTAACCATCCTGCTGAGGATTTTCTGGTCCTCATCTTCAAGCAGGATGGCACAGTGAACTGAGTCCTGCTTATAGGCATTAGCATATCGGAATTCTAGTTTCAGCTATGTCACAACTACTTAGGTGGCTTTTACCAAATTTCATAACCACTGTAGCATCTAAAAAAAAAATGTCAACAGACTGATGAGGAAATTAAGGCTGAGGGAGGTCATGTAGCATCCAAAGTCACTAAGCTAGGTCATGCAAAACCATACTCCAAAGCAGGGTCTTTCTGCCTCTGAGAACCATGCTGATCTCAAATGCTTGAAGAATTTGGTGAGCACTGTTCTATAATACTCCAGGGAGTAGAAGTAAAACCGTTAAACAGAAGCTATTTAATATGGTAACATGTACTTTTAATTTCAGGATGGGATAATATGCAGCATCTCTCAAATGTATTTGATCATGGGACTGTTCTTAGAGTGTCTTATGAGGTACCCTTTTGGAAATGCTATGTTAAGGCATTGTGCTTCCAAACACAGCCCTCAAAATGTAACTACCTTAAATGGTTACAGAAAGACAAAAAGCATTGCTAATCATTAACAAGATCTGTGCAAGAACCAGTTTCCTCAATTAGTAGCTTTTTGAAGACTCACCAAGTCTGAAAGTTTATAGCTTTGTGAGCCTGTTTATAGCAATAAGCCAAGAAGGACCACTGTGAATGTGGTACACACATCAAGAAGAGATGCAAAGATCAGAAAAAGCATTATGACAGGATTACAGGGAAGTTCAGGAAGTGCATGTGTTGACTTGAAGGACAACAAGATGAGAAATTTCTAACTCAAAGGATACTTTCTTGGGGTTTAAACAGTCCTAAGTAGTCCCTTAATCTGATCTCAGATTTTATTGTTTGATTTCCCTTTGTATTAGTTCTCTTATGCTGTACAACAAATTACCACAAATTTGGCAGCATATTACAAGACCCATTTGTTGTCTCACATGTTTTGTAGGTGAAAGTCTAGGCATGGCCTAATGAGTTACCTTATCAAGATCTCACAAGGCTGAGATCAAGGTGGTGGCTAGAAACACCTTCTTAGCTGGAGTTCAGAGCCCTTTTCCAAGCTTATTCTGGTTGAAAAAATTCATTTCCTTGTGGCTCTAAGCCTGAAGTCCCTATTTTCTTGCTAGATGCTGAACGAGGGTCATTCTCAGCATCCAGGGGCTGCCCTCAGGATCTAGTCATGCAGCCGCCTCTGTAAGTAGTTCATGACATCACTGTTTGCTTTCTTCCAGGCCAGCAGGAGAGATGCTTCCAGATAAGAGCTGCCTCTTCTCTCTCTAAAAGCCACCTGATTTGGTCAGGCCCACCCAAAAAAATCTTCATCAAGTCATGGTCAGCTGATTAGGGACTTTAGTGACACCTGCAGAATCCCTTCTGTCTTGTAACATATCACAACCATGGGAGTGATTCAATTAAGTACTCAAGCCTTAAGATTCTGTGAGTCTACATAAACTTTTGAGCAACCACTCCAATCTGACCAATTTCTATGAGTTCATATTAGATATGATGATCACACTGCTATGATGTACAGAAGTAACAAATCCTCATGGGGCGGCTCTAACAGAAGTGGGCAGAAGCCCTCCAACCTGTACCACTCCACAGGCTAGACTGGACTTCATCACTGACTCATGGCTGGCTCACATTTTACCAAAGCAATTTAATTCTGCAGCAATGCCAAAATATTTACTATGGAATCATACAACCTTAGGGTGCAAACTTTAAGATGATCAACATACAGTCAATTCCCTTTTGTAGTGCTTGTACTGACAAGTCGCTTCCCAACCAGCCTCTTTGATCAGTCCATTTATCTTTGGTCAGCTCTATCAGAGGGTCATTCCATATACAGAAATGAAATCTGTCATTTGGCAGCTTCTTTCTACTCATTCTAGATCTGTCTCTGAGAGTCAAAAAAAAAAAGAGTCTAATTCTGCTCTCACCTGACATCTCCTTAGATATAGGGAGCTAATGATTGTGACTCCCCTGAGCAGAGGAGGCTGTTGTAAATCTCCAAAGCATGATTTACTAGGCTACTCCAGAAGTTATTTACTATTTTAGAAGAGAGGGGAACTTGCCAATGTATTTTACAGAATCCATCACAACAGGCAAGCATTTTGTGCATGTGTATTAACACAGATTTTCTTAAAAAATAGAAGTGTTAATCAGTAGTCCTTCCACTTGGATCTGATCATGCTCTCCTGATGTTTTTCACAGAATGAGAGAGAAACCATCACTTTCTTTGCACAAGAGGACAGCACTTTCTCTGCACAGACTGGCCCCAAAGCCTTCAAAATTCCCTACTCCATCAGACAGCGGATTTGTGCTACATTTGATACCCCCAATGCCAAAGGCAAGGACTGGCAGATGTTAGCGCAGAAGAACAGCATCAACAGGTAACTGGGGGCAACTTCTGAAAGATTTTGCTAAGAGAGCTGTGAAAAGTAACATGGGTTGGGTCTGTCCGTGTGGTTCCAGGCCCTGATCTCTTTATGGATTCCTCTGGCCATACTTCATGAGAGGCCTGGTTAGTGGGAAAAGAGCAAGAATGTGACATTGCATGTGGCTTTTCTACCACCCCATTGTGCCACTCCATTTGGGGACATTATGGACAAAGGCCTACTTTGGTCCTGTCCCATGTCCAGGCTTGCTGACGGAGCCACTCAAGTGAGGGTTTAGGCCACGTCACCTCGGTGCTTGTGAGTTTTCCCAGCACAGTCTTGAGCCAGTGATACCAAAACAGAGAAGCGACTTTCTCATACCTCCTCACCACCATCAGGTAACCTTGAGCTTAATTTAACCCTTCATGGATGGGCACATGGTCAGCCTGCAAAAGTAGGTGCCTCCATATAAAAAAGGCAGTTTGAGGATGTAACTCTCAGGTCTGAAGGCAGAGGGCATTGAATAAGCAAAAGGTCACACAGGCACCACGAGTAAGTGTGCTGCTTAAACTGACCGCTCGGACCGTGCTAACCCCATAGTTAAGTCGAGATCAGGACAGAGATTCATAAGGGGCTTATCACTGTAGATGAGAAAAGGCAGAGCAGCACTGACAGGCGGGCAGGTTCGGCCCAGCCTGAGGGACTGCTCATGGGGAACAGGCGCTCACGGGTCACCTCTCTCTCCCCCCTAGCGCACCCCGCATGCCCCAGAGTGAATAGAAAAGAGAGCAGGTTTTGCCAGAACCATTTTCTCCCCCTGTTCTTTGGTCCAATTTTTTTTCTTTTGAGGCGGAGCCTTATTTTCTTATTGTTTTGGCTCGCTCTGTCATTTCCATTTTCTGTTCTTTATCATCCTACCTGCCTCTTTCTTCTCAGAAAGGGAGGTGGATGTCTGCCAAGAAAGGATAGAACGCCTCTCCCCATTTCAAAAGGGATCCAGGATCCATGAACGAAGGGCCCAACTGAAAAGCAGGCAGGCTCAGAGAGGAAAATCAGGAAAGGAGGCATTGCTGGAAAAAAAAATGGAATTTAAAGAGAGAGGCAGGCCCACAGAGAGTGAACTCCTTGGAAAGGCATAGATTGAAAATGAAAGAATACAAAAATACAGGCGCATATAGGAAATTTAGGTTGAATATTTCCCAACACCTCTGATGAAGGATGAGGTGTCTTATGTATAACCCGTGAAAACAATGACCAGGTTCACTTTCTGATTAACATGGGGGTCAAAATGAAAAACTAGCCCAGAGAACAGAATTTTGTAAAAAAAATAAACAAGATTGGCCATGGTCTCAAGGCTCCGCAAGACCATCCCTGGTTTTACAGCCAATACCAGTCTGTCTCCACATCTTTCACCATCCCTTTATTTCTTTTTCCACAGATACAATTCATAGAATTAGAAGTACATTAACTCTGTAATCCATTCTGGATGTAAGAGTTTGGCTTTTAATCCACCATTTGCAAGAAAATAATTGCCACAAAATATGCATGTACCCATGGACGCTGTCATTACTCTGTGAGTGAGCGTGCGCACGTACCTGCCCTTTTCCACTTCATTCTCCACTTATGATCCATACACGAGAACTACACTGAGTGCCTACAAAGCCATCAGTTTCGGACCTTGCACATTTCGGACCAGGAGATTAAGGTCAACCACATTCAGCGTCTGGGCTCTAATGGGTAGTAAGTGGCTACAGAGGAGCAGACTGCCCTCTTTTAGTGTTGTAGGGTCCAGAGCCCTAAAACCTGAGCTCTTGGTGTGCCTGGCACTTGTTCGCTTTTGCTTTTTCCTCAGACCCCTTTTTCCAGGAAAGCCTAAATTTCTTTGATACGAGAAATTCAAATGACCTACTTTATGGAAAGTTTCTAACAGTGCCCAGAAAATGTCAACTTTCAGTAAGAGTTACTCTTTGAAATTTTCATAATTACCAGCAAATCAGAATAGCATGAATCCACATAATCTACTTCTATCTTTTAATCTTATTTCTTAATATATTCAACTTCAGTGAACGGCATTTCCTACCTTCCTCTTCATTCTCTAGCTTAACTCTCCAAAAGCAGAATAACTATGGAGTGAGAATGATTTATGAAACGAGGGATCAGCAAACTTTTTGCTGTTATAGAATCAGAGCGTAAATAGGTAAGGCCAAATGGGATCTGTTGCAGCCACTCAGCAACTATTTAGCTCTGCCTCTGTAGTTTGAATCAGCCGGGGAAACAGAACTAAAAGGTATGGCTGTGTTCCAGCCAACTCCACAGAAACAGGCAACTACCTGTATTTATTTGCCTTGGCCTCTGTAATTTGCTGACCCCCAATTTAAATGACTGCCCTCATTTAGTAAAATGTCCATAGGATCTTACTGCTTCAGTCAAGGTAGCACCTGGAGATGAAGCTTTTCACCCACTCTGCATCCGAGCCTCCTGGGGGTTGGGGTGCAGGATAGGGTCCTTTTCTGCAGCCTGGTGTGGTTCGGCAGATATGGCCACCAAGACATTTAGAGAAGCACAACAGGACAAACACGGCTGGAAACCACTCACCCAATGTTAGCCGATTCTCATTTTGCAAGAACTGTCACCTACCTTTTGTGTCGTCACTACTGTAACAAACATATGTCTTCTCCTACATAGGAAGAAACATGTGACAGAGATGAAGGGGTACTTTCAGATGTAGTTTTTCACAACTTCCTGTCATGTAATCCCAAGTTACCAGTCTTGATCTCTCATGGTTACAAATAGCATAGAATTCATCACTAGTGGGTTAAAACACAGAAATCCAAAGTTGTCAATATGCCAATATTATTGAGGACGAGAGCCATTCCATCACTTGAGATTTTTATCAGCTCTGGGGAAAAATGGTCACAGAGGCCACAGTCAGTCTTTCTGTTAGAGAATTCATTTATCTACCTTGGTCTTAGGACAGCACTTTTACGTGACACCTAAGGGACTTGTCAAAGGGAGTGGCGGGAAAAATTTGCTTTTATTTTATTGCCAGTAAGAATATTCTTTTGCCCTCCATTTGGTATATGCAAATGTCACTGATGATGATCTACTTTTTTGCCAAACAAATTTCTACTTAGGTCTGAATAGGAGAGAAAGGCAAGCAGCAGAAAGCTAAAGGCTTAGCAATTGGTGAGAATGTGCTAGAAGGTGGCAACACAGGTGGCCTGGCACCTTGATCATGCTAAATAAGCTACACAGCCTAGCAAAGAATGTCACAGATAAGACTTGCAATTTTAGATTCTGTGAACAAACTCTATTTCTCAGAGTCCATACTTGCTATACTTCAGAGCTGAGATTGCACATTTATTCTATAAGTTCAGCTGCAATAACTCTCCACTTCATGCTCTTGACAACATGTGATTGGTAGGTGGGAAGGGCTGAGAATAAAGAATCGATTGCATAGGAGTAGACGGCAAAGACCATTGCTGAGGACTAAAGAAGTTAAATAATATAGGAAACTACCTGCTTCAGCTACAAGTACCCCCCTTGTCTAAACTTCGATGGCACTTTACATTTGTATGAGACTTTTTACTTTGTTAATTGCAGTTAAACAGACTTCGTACTGTCTACTGAGGCGAATTCAATGTTTTTTTTCTTGAATGGCATGAACTTTTTCAGTCTGTAGTATACTTGACTTTAAAAACTTGTCTCTTAATAAACAGAATTGATAAGAATAAGCATCAAGGGATTTCAAAAGTGGGTCTCAAAAGAAAACAGGTCACAAAACTGACAGTATGGAGGATTCTTGGCTTCCTCTCAGGTCTTAACACAGTACCTGAAATTCTATTAGATCTTTCTTCCTTAAGGCCTGACAATTTTCATATTCCAGAAACCCTTGTGAAAACATAGCCAGCTTGATCAAGTTGCTATGGGAACAGGTGCTGGGTAAAGTGCTCAGATAGGAGGAAGGGTAGAGGGGAAGCAGCCAAAATGGAACAAAGGATTTCAAGGTGGAAAGTAACAGAGAGATTACACCTTATCAACAGTTTTTCATAATAGTATGCTTGTTTGAAAATTGGTCAACACTGCCAGAGAAACACAGTTCTCGTTGGTCAGCTGGTTATGTTAATATTCAGTCATTTGTGGAAATCATGAGCAAATGAAATCCCTCCACCCTTGTGCCTGATACGCAGGGCTGTAACAACTTGTTTGTGCCCACCAGCTCTTTTAACAGGACCTCTAATGAGAAACAGAACTTCCTCACGTTGAGGTCATATCCTTTCATTCCCTTGTGCACCCTCTTAATTGGATGCATACAAACGGTGAAGCGGCCGGAGGGCAGTGGGAGAGGACAGAGGAAGGTCGCAAGGCAGCTCATTAATCTACCTCAGAGTAACTGCTGAGAACTCACTAGAAGTGGGACAGTCCCAGTGCCAGCTTTCTTTTGGGGTGGAGGGGAAAGAAGGGAGGGGGAAAGGAAGGGGAAAAGGTGACTACAGAACACACACAGAAGGCCTGCTTCACCGGCAGACCACGGGGATGGTCACCAGCAACCACTGAAAATCGCTATGTTCCTGCCCGTGTTTGGTGATTTACTGTGATTACACCAAACTAGGGCCTCTTAGTTCTGCAGGCTAGAGGCTAATAAACACATCATAACCTTTAAACAATAAAAATGGATGTGAAGCTGCTATTTCATGACTCTTCAAAGGAGAATACGGAGGAGGATAGCGTTACACAGGTCCTTGGGGGCGAACCATGAGGAGCCCAAGTCAGAGGGCCTGGTTCTGGCCCGGCGGGCTTACAAGCGGAGTCTGGAACTTGAAGTGCCCTTAGAGCGCAGCCAGAGGGGCCCAGCGCAGCCAGGTGGGGGCGTCTGCATTTCCCTCCACCGAAGTCAATGACTCATGACACCACCTGCTGGTACGAAGCTGTCAGACAGCCCAGGACAGGGTCAGCCGTGAACACGCCGTGTCTGGTTTCTGAGGAGCAGGTGTCCATCCTAAAGGCAACACGGG